CATAAATATCTCAAATGTGAAAAAGAATTTATTAGTTGCCTCCTGAATTTACCCCACTTCCTAGCTTTCCCTATTTCTCTTTAAGCTACCAGTATTTTTCCTTTTATCTGGGTTCATAATGGAGGAGTCATCCTTGACTCCTGAATCATGAAATCTTATCAATTCTATATCCACACCATATTTCATATCCATCCCCTTCTTCCCATTCACATGGCCACCACTTTAGCTCAGGACTCCATCATCTCCTAAGTGTACCTTGTATGTTTCCTAATTAATGTTTTCTGCTCCTTTAAGTTTCACCCCTATCCATCCTCCACACAATCTTCAATTTGAAGTCTGGTCATGTCACACCTCTTCTCAAAAAGCTTCACTGTCTTTCTACTGCCTCTAGAGTAAAATTCAGTCTTTCCATTCAGCATTTAAAGCTTATACTGACAGAAAGCTACAATGTGTAACAGTTTTCACAGAAACATAGAGTCAAAACAATGTCTAAGAATGGGTTAAAGAAATATTCATCCTAGGGCAGGGAACTTCTCCAGGACTAGAAATTTCTTTCAATGTAGGCAATAAAAAATGGCTTGCTCTGAGGTTTGAGTAGACAGCTGCTGTATATCTTGGCATCTCTAGCTTCTCCAATGGGGTGATGCCTCTAACTATGGGTTGTCTTTCATGCCATTTGTCTTGGGAAATACTGATTACTTTAGGTATAAAAAGTATAATTATAGCTCATTCTTCCACTCTTTCTTCTGCCTTATTTTACATATTGAATCAGTTGCCAAATCTAGTAGTCCCTACCTATGCATCTTTCATATCCCTCCCTCTAGTGATGTGCCAACATCTCTCTAGTCATGTGGTCATCATTTTAATGCAGTTCATCATCATAATTCTCCAAGACTAGCTGCTAGTCTCTTGTATCTCTGATGCATCCTCTGCATAGCTGCAAAGGTAATCTTTCTAAAGTACAAGTTTGACCATGTCACTTCCCTGGTCAATAATATACATGGACTCCCGAAGGTAAATTACCAACTACTAAGTTTGACTACACACACACACACACACACACACACACACACATTATATAGGGAGTTGTTACTGTTCAGGCATTTCAGTTGAGTATGACTCTGTGTGATCTCATTTGGGGTTTTCTTGGCAAAGATACTGAAGTGGTTTGTCTTTTCTTTCTCCAGATCATTTTGCAGATGAAGAAATAGAGGCAAACAGGGTTAAGTAACTTGCACAGGTCATATGACTAATAAGTGTCAGAGGCCAGATTTGAACTCAGTAAAGTGTGTCTTTCTAACTTCAGAGCCAGCACTTGATCCACTCTGCTGCCTAGCTGCCCTTATATAGGAAGACATATATACATATATGTGTCTATGTATGTGTATATATACATGTATGCATATATGTACACATATACACATACATACCTACATATACAATTTTGTATCTCCCTTAAGGATGGAAGGACTTTCTTATTATGTTCTTACATCTCAGAAACCTAATGCAAAACCTGGCACTTTCACAAATGCTTATTACATTGGGTTGAATTGGAAGCTACCAGATTATCTGAATTTTTTCCACCATCCTCAATTTTACCTTAGTGTTCTAGGGTTTCTGTCTTTTCTTATACTCCATCTCAACCTAAAAGTACCTGTCTTGACTCAACTCAGGTGCAAAAGCCTAGTTTTATGTCTGAGTAGAATGTGAGAAGGCAGGTATAATTTTAAAATAAGACTGAAAAGATAGCTGTGAGCTAGACTTTGGAAGACCTTAAATACAGCCTTATTGCTTTAGAAAGATTATATTAGCAGCTCTGTGGAGGATGCACTATAGAGCAAAAATTAGAGAAAGAGAGATCAACCATTAGAAGGTTATTATGATAGTCCTAGCACAGGTAATGAAGGTCTGTCTGTTGTATGAGTTAAGAGAAGGAAAATGGATGCAAGAGTATCTTCAAGTCAAAATTATAAAGTTTGCCAAGTGACTGCATATGGAGTGGGGAGATAAAAGATACTTCTAAGTTTTAGAGATAATAATAAAATCATATTTTGATGGTGGCTTTAAGGTTTATAAAATGCTTCTGCTTCGAGTACCCCGTGGAGTAGGTAGGTATCACTATTCCCATTTTAAAGAAAAAGAATGATCCTGAGCTTCCACCTCACCCTCATCAGACTGGCAATGTTGACAAAAGTAAAAAATGACAAATGTTAGAGGGACCACAGGGCAAAAAGACATTATGATGCCCTCCTGGTGGAGCTGGGAATTGGTCCAGCTTGGATCAATTGCTTAATTTGAAACTATTACTTTCAAAGACTAGCTAGGTAGTGCAGTGGATAGAGCACCAGGCCTGGAGTCAGGAAGAAACAAGTTCAAATCAAGCCTCAGACACCTACTAGTTGGGTGACCCTGGGCAAATCACTTAACCCTGTTTGCCTCAATTTCTTCATCTGTAAAATGACCTGAAGAAGCAAATGGCAAACCATTCCAGCATCTTTGACAAGAGAACCCTAAATGAGCTCACAAAAAAGGCAGGACTGAAAACAACTAAAGGAGAAGAACAAAAATTACTTTAAAAAGTTATTAAACTACATATACTCTTTGACCCAGCAAAATTACTACTAGGGCTATACTACAAAGAAATTTTTAAAAGAAGAAAAAGTACCTTTATCTATAAAAATATTTATAGTAGCTCTTTTTTGTGGTGGAAAAAACTAGAAAACTAAGGGGGTGCTTATCAATTGGAGAATGGCTGAAAAAGTTATGATATATGAATGTAATGGAATACTTCTGTGCCATAAAAAAGAAAAAGCATGATGAAAGAGGTGGTTTCAGAGAAACCTTGGGAAAACTTTATGAACTAATGCAGAGTAAAGTAAGGAGGACCAAGAAAACAATTTTTACAATAACAACATTTTAAAGACAAATGCCTTTAAAAATGTAAGAATTCTGACCTATGCAATGACCAAACTCGATTCCAAGGAGCTGAAAATAATGTGTACACCTCTTGACACAGTGGTGATATATTCAGGGTACAGAATGAAGTATCCATTTTTGGACATGACCAATGTGAGAATTTGTCTTAACTGTGTTTGTTAGTAGATTTCTGTTTTTTTTTTTCTCAATGGGGAGGTTTAGAGGAAGAGAAAAAAATGCTTATTGAGAAGAGGAAGAAGAAAAGGAAGGGGAAGAGAGGAGGACAAGAAGAAGGAAGAAGGAAGAGGGGAAAGGAGAGGAGGGAAAAGGCAGAGGGGAGAAGAAAGGGATGCAGAACCAAGGATTTATAACTTCAAGCAATTTCACTGCCCCTCAGTAAAGCTCAGCCTTTGACTAAGAATGACCTCTCTGTCCTACTATAAGATTTTCTAAACAAGATTTTCTAAAAATTGTTGAAGAAAAATTCAATTACTATTCAATTACATTCGCTAAACCAGAAAAGTTGACTAATACATTTTACAAAGATTTTCCTTAATAAGGAAACTGGTTGAAACAAAAATGTTTGTATACTCAAATCTTAGTTAATAAGAAAAGCCTATTAACCAAAACACCATATTCCTCAATCATTATGGTCAATATAGGGTTGGTTATAATTCAAACTTCAGTAAGAGCTGTGTTTAGACAAAAGGACTCAATTATATACACATAAGCATAATATAGTATGCTATTGTAGAAAAGTATTAGATTGAGCATCAGAAGATGAGTATGATACTGGGCAAGTCTCTTAAACTCATTGAGCCTCAGTTTCTACATCTGTAAAAATGAGAGAGTGCTCTCTAAGGTACCTTCCAACTTCAAACCTCTATGATTTCACAGTCACATCCATATCCTCGGAATATTGATGAGAAGGAAAAGCAAAGTATGGAAGAATAACTGAGGCAATTTTGCACATGTGCCAGAGTAGCAGGCTAGCAACTAGAGGAAAAGGAACTGGAAGAAAGGATAAGAGATAGGAATAGGAGATTTCAGAGTACAGAATAAGGCCCAAGCTACCACTCATTGCTGTGGGCCAAAATGGGCCAATAGATTTTCTAAAACTTTGAAAAAAACCAGCACAATTGAACTGAATTTCAATCAAATTGAGATTCCATTTTATTTCATTCCTTTACTTATGCATACATTGTAACAAAGCAAGGAAATCTTTGCCTCCTGACACAAGAAAAAACTTCCAGAAAATCCCATGTCCAGCCAAGCACGACAAAGATAAGCTTTAACTCTGAATAATAGGGCCAAGATAATCTAAGGGATTTTCCCAAGTCTTGAAATATTTGAGCAATGCTTTACTAATGTTTAAGGAGTTTGTTTCTCAAAGTTTATGCTTCAAACTTTTCAAATACACCCACCACTAATATGAGAAATATACAGACTTTAATAATGTTACATAAATACTAACCCTAAATATCCAATTATCTACCAAAGGACTTTCTATTGAAAATATCCTTTAAAAAAAAAAGCTGCTGTACACATATTGCTACTTAAACTAATTTCCTTACCTGCGTAAAATGTCTACATAGCATCAGTTTATCATAAGGAAACTAGCTATATAAGGCAACCCTGACACAGGCAATAAAAGGTGCATGACAGCAGGAAGTTTCTAAGATGGGGTTTTCAATCTATATTAAGTCAGGCTGGATCCGTTGTTGAATTTAAATACAGACATTTAAGGAAAAATTTTAAAAAAAAGATTTAGCATTAGTTGCAGCACGTCAATCGGATGTGCAAAAAACGCTACACAATATTATCTATAGCCAAGAAGAGCACAAATCAGAATAAGCACTCTTTCTTCACTTTGCTTTATAAATTATATTAAAATTGCATTAGATCTAGAAAACTTAAAAAAAAGTCCTTAATATTAAATGCTCTATCCAGTCAAAATGGAGAACCTAATCATGGATTTTTGCCCCCTCCCCCAGTTTCCTTGTTCTCCCTTTTTGCCCTCCCACAGACAGCGCCAATTCTTCTCCGGCTGTGTTTGCAGAACATAGGTGCACGGGGCCACTCACCTGTCGTCGTTCTGCCACCCTTGATCCCCTAGCAGCAAATCCCGAAACCTGTATCTTGGGGGCAGAGGGGGAACCTCGCTCTCCAAGTCAACCATCCTTTTCCAGCCAAAGGGGAAAAAATAAAGGGGGGTGGGAACAGAAAGGAGAGGGAGGAAAAATAAAAGGAAAAGGTCTAATAAGAGAGGATGAAAAGGGGTGGGGGGGGTGGAATAGTCACCAGCCGGAAGCCTGTAATGAGAGGGAGCAGGGCAGGTTCCTCGAAACCGAGGGTAAGATAGGGGTGATGCAAACCAAGCCCAGGAGGAAAGTGGGACTCTGGCGAGAGGCAGCCAGCCCTTCTAGCAGCCCCCGGGCTCGTGCTTGCCGCAGCCTCTGGTAAAGAGGACCGGGGGCTAGGAGAGAGTGCAAAAGTTACTTCTGGGGGGCAGGCGTGTAGCACAGGGGAGATGGGGAAAGGGTCTTCAGGAAAAGGTAGGGGCGGGGCTGGGAGGGGGAAGCACTTCAGGGAGCAGCAGGTGAGCTCCCTCTCCACCCCTCGCCTGGCGCTCCCGGCTGCAACTCCCTCAGGTCAGCCCGGACCAAGCTTTAGGTTAGGCTCCGCGCAGCTGGTAGGGGAGTCTGGCTGGGGAGGGGGAAGCTATTTTTTTCAGTCTCGGATACGCCGCCAAGCCCTAGCTCCCCGCAAATGTCATTTGGAGCTGCCGCTGGAGCCCCCACCAATGAAATTTTTTCTCATTAGCATAAATCAGTGACGACACTGGAGGCTTCTCAGGGATAGCCAATGGAAGGGAGCTCATTAGCAGATTCCCCGGGAAGCAGCCCCACGGGAGGGGTGGGAGCAGCCCGCCCACGCGACTGATTGCTGGGCCTGGGGTCTTTTTTCTATGCATCTGGGTACCTCTCTTTATTTCCATCTCGCTTAGGTGGGCGGAAGGAAAACTGCTTTCCCTGCTTGAGGGAATCCCCTTTTATCCCAAAGGGGATTCCCCGTTTTCCCTCCCCTAATTCTTGAGGCTGTGAGGAGTTTCCCTCGCCCTAGGAACAGAATACGCATTTTTTGTCCCATATATAATGTTGAACCAATACAAAACCAACCGAGAGTTGTTATGAGGATTAAGTAACATAATAAACATAAAAATGCTTTAACAAATATTGAGGTCTATATAAGTCTACCGTGTTGTTGTCAAGTTGGGCTGTGATAATGACTGTGATAATAATTTCTATAGAGCTTTAAAAAATTTATCTTTACCTTTATTTGTTCCTTTGAGTCTCACAACTCTCCGAGTACTGCAGGGATATTATCTCCGTTTTATGAATAAGAAAAGTGAGGCTCAGAGACATTAAATGATTCCCCTCTATTCACCATAGTAGAGTCAGAGGATTTTCTTGACCAACCTTCTGTCCACTACACAATCCTGTCCCTCAGGTTATATTGACCTGTCTTGATGTGCAGGATTTCTTCTCTAAGCTAGTGGAATGATGTAAGCTTTTTGATAATGTGGAATTTAATCCAACAATTACAGAGTACCTACTATGTACAAGGTACTGTCCTAGGTGCTGGAAACACAATTATACCACCATTCTCAGGATGACAGATCTATGTAAGGGACTTTAGAGGCGATCTAGTCCGACTTTCTCATTTATAGTTGAGGAAACTGAGGTCCGGGAAGTTTAAATCATATGCCTGAATTTGCACAAGTAGTAACTAAGCTTCAGAGGCCAGATTTGAACCTGTGTCCTCTCAGGATAGAGTGCTTTCTTCACCAGGGTGCAGATTAATTCAAGATTACATTTACTGGAATAACAATATCTAACACTGGAACAGATTTGACATGACATGAGCCATCCTAAATTTGTCTTTCAGATTGTTTCCTCCAATACCTAGGTTTGGGATCAGTTGAAGTCTGTAGGGATAGGGATTGGACCTGTGATTTCATTGATTAAGGAATTCCCAATTGAGGAAATTCCTTCTACCAGTGAAGTTTGGCATCTTTTCAGCAAAATATAATCTTAGAAAGTTGCCTGGAGGACTGAAAAACAAAGCGACTTGCCCAGCTTCACACAGACAGTGTGTGTGTTGAACCCTAGTTTCAAGGTCAGCTCTTGCTGCCTCTCTTGAAGCCTGAAGTGAGAGGAATATCAATGACATACTTCATTACTCTTCACCAATGGGGCCAGCTAACCTCTCAACTCATTTGTTCACAACAATGGTTTGCACACTGAGGGTATGCAGTGATATTTTAAAATGTACTTTAAACAAAAATTAAAGTCTGATTTCTGGGTAAAAGGAGGTGTTATAATATTAGTGGTATAGTGACAGCATTGAGTTACCACTGGCAGATTAGACAGTCATGGTTTCTTTGTAAATGTGATGGCCCACCCAAGTTGGCCATTTGTATCAAGTTTTTAATTCAAAGCTAAAGCTAGCAGGGAGCTGAATCCTTGACCCTAGCTAAGAAGGCCTCTCTCTGGAGGATTTTTTTTAAAGGCCTGATTTGTAACAAAACCTGTCTTACATTCTGAGCATTCCCAGCAACATGAATAGAATCAGTTGTATTTTAGCAACAGTGAAAAGAGAAAGCAATAGAGAACAAGGAGAAAGGTAGAACATCAGATTCAACACAGGGATTAAATCTCCAAAGGGCAGGTGAGGAACAAAGAGGAAAGGTGGAGGGGAGATTTGTGAAGGTGTTCCTACAATTGATCTAATTTCACCAAGATCCCTGATGGTTTTGTCAGAAATAAAGCCTGCCTGCTGCATGCACAGTTCGTGAGTATAACACACAAAGGAACCTGTCTATCTAGAAATGTAGGTAAAGCCTGAGGTATAGTAATAGTAATTAAATAGTAATAATAAGTGCCTTTCTCACTTTCTTCCCTGTTCATTTCCTTCATATAGTTCCCCCTCAACTCACACATGATTTTTGGCTTCACTTTCAGTGCTAACCCTGAGGTTCTGTCCATTCCTCTAATGCTCCCTCTTCTGCACTGTCACTAGGGAAATTTAATGACTTGTTTATCAGGAGTTAGAATTTAAGGAAGACATTTAGGATTGGTGCCATAGTGAATAGTCAACCTTGATACTGTCCTTCCTCCACAACTCCAGAACCACTGTCCACACAAAATTAACTAAATCAGAAAGTTAATCTCTCAGTTCTAATGATCTCCCTTGTTAATCTTAAGTCTGTGATTGTCACAAATGCTCCAAATCCTGTCCCTGTGATGGGCTTCTAGAGATCTTCCTTCCAGTCTTCATAGTGATATGGCTCCCTACATCCCAAAACCAGATTGTAAGCTCTTTGAGGCCACCAGTATTTTATACAGCTTTGTATCCTATATATCATCCCATAGATCACCTAGCACATTGCCTTTCTCAAATAAGATGCTCAAAAAATACTTGAAGGAAGTGAATGTCTCATTCTGAAGTTAAATTCCCTCCCTGCCCCCCTCAGTATTTACAACATAAGAAAATCCCTAGTGAAAGATTGATGCAGAGTTAGAATTGTAATTGTGCTTTCAACAACTAGAAGATATACACACACAGGCATCTGTGTGTGTTTGTGTGTGGGGGTATGAATAGCTCATCTGAGTTATAAAATAAAATTGTAACCATCTTGTGTTCTTTTAAAAATAGGGCCTCTGGTACTTAAATCTTTTCCTAAACACTTAGCATAGTGCCTGCCACACAGTAGGTGCTTAATAAATACTTCTTGACTTAATTTATCTGGGGAAAAGGTGTTGAGATTGAAAAGTCTATGTTTTGAGTGTATGTGAGTGAGTGCTGTAGGAGAAGGGGAGAGGGAGTTGGGAAGACATGATCTAAAAAGCATGTAATTAGAGAGAGTCTTGTATTTAGATTAAGTAACAATAACAGATATCTAATACAATTTTACAGACATAAACTCATTTAATCTTCACAAGAACCCAGTGAGGTAGATGCTGTTATTATCCTCATTTTACAAGTGAGAAAACTGAGGCCCAGGAAAGTTTTGTGACTTACTGAGCATCACACAGTTAATAAGGTTCTGAGCTAGAATTTGAATTCTGGTATTTTTAACACCATGGCCAAGGCTCTCATCACTATGTTACACTGCCTTTCCCTTACCTTGTATGGTTTAAGAGACATTTCAAGTCCAAACAGGGCTAGATAAAAAGCTATCAGATCATTTAATTAATATCATGTCAGGTCAAAACTGAGTTATAATTATTCATGAAAATTAATTGAAAAATTGTAGGATATTATCTGAGTCCACTTGGAAAACAGTAAAAAATAAAAGGTTAAAATGGCAGGCAAGCTGTGGAAGGCAACTGAGCCTAGGCCGAGCTAGACCTCTCCTGTTGGTTATTAACACAAGCCAGTTGAAGAGCCATAGGGACAGCTAGTATAGAATTTAGCCATGAGAAGCTAAATTTATTAACTGGTGTCAGTGCCAGAAGATCTGGTTTTGAAGGCTAGAGAACCAGAGCAACAGATGTTAGAGTACAGGCTTGAGCAAAGCCAAATATGAGAGCAAGAGTCAAATCAGTTATGGAAGGAGACCAAGGAGAGATGGCCAAACCTAATGGAACATATAGTAATAATAGCTCATGTTTATGTAGCACTGTACATTGACAGAGTACTAATCATTGGAAGCACAGACTCCAAGTTGAAAGGGATTTTAGAGGCCATATAGTCCAATCCCTTCATTTTATCTATGTGGAGACTTGAGGCAGAGAGGTTTTGATATACTTAAGGTCACATAGGTAGTGAGTAGAAGAGGAAGGATTTGGATCCAGGTTCTCTGACTACAAATCCATCACTCTGATTTTCCTGAAAACAAACCCCTGAGATGTGTAATACAAATGTCAGTGTCCCCATTCTCTAGGTCAGTGGTGTCAAACTCAGAAAAGGAAAACACTAATCCATAAATAAGGATCCTTGTGGGCTGCTTATTGTGTTAGTGTTTTTTTTTTATTTGTAATGTTATCTATGTTTTACTTTATTTTGTTAAATATTTCCTAATTATGGTTTTAATCTGGTTTGGGCAGCCCTTAGGAGTGTCAAATGTGGCGTGTTTGACATCAGTCTTCTAGATGAAAAAGCAGAGGTTCAGAACAGTGAAGTGAGTCATTTATCTTTAATTATATAGCCTGTAAGTATCATAACCAGCACTGAAGACCTGTCTTGACCTTCAGATCCAGTGTTCTTTCTCCATCATCAGTGTGTCTGTATGTAAAAGGAAAATCTGAAACTGAAGGGATCCTGAGTCTAAATCACAGTGAAACTAAGTAAAACTGAGAGTGAGTCCTTGTGGAAATAAATTATCTGGTAAAAAGGTTCAGTGTTTTTTTTTTAGTCTCATTTTGATGCTTTTTCAGTCTCCTTAAGAGCGCACCCTTAAGACACTGGAATAGGCAGGGTTCATAACACTCAAGCACCATGTCAAAAAGAGTCTTTACATACATGCATACATGCATAGTCACAAACACACATATAAATATGTGTACAAGTGGATATGTGTACACGTATACAAATATGCTATACCTATGTAATAGAATGTACATGTACACGTTATGTGCATGCACGGTCTGGATGTGCAGACATATGTAAATGTGTGTGCATACCCACATGAATGTTTATATATTCCCTCCAGGAGTGCAGATAATCCATCAATACCTCTGTGATTCCTTTCCA